GACAAGCAGAGGTTACTATATTTCTCTTACTCAACAGTAATGCCTAGGTAGCTCCCATAACAATTGCCAAATAAAAGAATTACAGCATTCATGTTTACACACAATTATTTAGTCACAGCAAGAAACTGAGACAAATATTCAACCGTGACTTCTTTTCAGTAGTTATGTTTATTTTAGAAGCTAGAAGAAAGGCTTTGTGAAAACAGAAGGAGGAACCTGTATAAACGTATGCTCATTGCCTCCATAAAGGTTCCAGGCTGAAGCCAAACTGCGGACACCTTGAAATTGCTCTCAAGTGCAACTATTTTTTAATAAGAAAAACTGAGATCTTCCCCAAGAGCGACACTCATAGCAAAGTTTAAAACTACTGTGTGCTAGTGAAACCTTGCATTAAAATAATTCTCTTCACAAAACTTGCGATATTAAGTGGAATACTGAATAAAACTACTGTTTAAAAGCAGATTTTCTGGTCTACAAGCCTTGCACTGAGCTTGCACGAATGAAAAGTCAATGAGCAAAGTTTACAAACTTTGCAGAGTTAAAACAGTTTTAGTGGAAATGACTAAGTAAATACAAATATACATTGGTTGCATAATGTCACAGCTAGAACTGAAGCCTCTCTAAGTCACCGGTTTCAGTGAAGGGCCTTTACCCACGTGGTACAGGCTATTTATCTGGCTCAGCTCCAGCTTCTCAGATCAAAAGATTTTTTTTTTTTTTTTAAAGTTTTGTTTCTAACCTTTCTTTTTTAAGCTTTATTTCTAACCTCATTTTGTTTCTAACCTCATTTTAAACAAACTTCTAGGTCCAATGATACAAGATACGGGAGTTTTCTTTCAGTTCTTTTAAAGAAAGTGGCAACTGTTCTGGCGAGTATGCTACTACTTCGGTAGCAAAATACATTTCTTAAAGAAAACAAACTAAAATCCCTGAAAGCCCCTTAACAAGCTACCTTCGCTCTTCCCATTTAGTAAAAGGGAAGCTGAGGTACAAGGAGCTTGTCCAGGATCCAGTCTCTGTGTACTATCGTGTTTGCCACAATGCCTCCTCCATCGAATTATTGTTAAAATTTCAATGGGCAATTTAAACATACAGCTATTGAAAAATATTTCACCAGTAGGTATATAAGCAAAGTAACTTACCACAGGGCTAACATCAAATCACAGCAGTGGTAAATGAAGTCTGCTGCCATCATCTTTCTACTGAGTAAATGTGAAAACTTTCAGAATCACTAATTGAAGGCATATACTCCTACACATTGGTCATTACTGCATCTGCTGACTTCCTTCTAAATCTACTTTGTTTTAGCATTAACTTGGTATAGCATAAGACCTGGCAGCCACAGGCCCAGTTTGTAAAAATATTTCTTTTAGCCTTCTGCAGAGAAAGCCTGAAACTCAGTTTCTTTGTCATTCTTAGCATAATGAATTACATCTGCAGATTAAAAAAAAAAGGATTATGCATTTTTCCAAAGCATTATGTAAAAGTCTGTGCTTGTTGACACAGAAAACTGATGCCTTTCTTAATTACTGAATATTCCAGACTTCATACCTCCAAATTTTCCTCACTATATTCTCTACTCTCCAATTTGCTTTTGATCATACGAAGTCTCACTAACCTCAGCAATAATCCAAGTGAACTGAGAAATTGCCTACAGCCGAGCAAACTATGGGTGTCTGGAAATGAGTCAAAATATGGAATATTGGAGGAATTTCAAAATGAAGAGTGTTTTAATAAAAAACATTAATAGCAGTGCCAAATGCTGTACTACACTCACTCCATGTCAGACCAGGTAGTTTTTGGGTTGTGAGCCAAACAAGAAATGAAACCAGCTATATATGGTATGTTGTTAAAAATACACAAACTGCAAAATGACTTGCTTTTCCTATTTTAACTACAGTATTCTTAGTAATTATATGAACTAGATTGTAAAAATTACTTGGTTTGTTGTGTGTTTTTTTTTCTTCCCCTCTCATTTTTGAGGTAATTTTAAACACTTCACTAGATGGTCAACTAGCTGGTTTGGAAGTCGTGATATTATAGGAGAATGAATTTAAGCAACCATCTCTTTAGTTTTGCTTACATACCTTAAGTGTTGGATCCAAAATAAATGAGTAAGAATGAAAATCAGACATGAGAGTGGACAACAGCAACATACCTTTTCTTACAAGTTGCTGAAGTTTTATGGCAAATAAATTGTTTACCAGCAGAAGCTTCAAAATTATTTTGAATTAACATATGCTTTTGTCCAGTCTGATGAGGAAAATGTATCATAGACAGACTTGCTTTTACATCTGTAACAAAACATACCTGTCCCAGTCAAAAGTCCAGCACTCTTCTTTCGTGCATAAGCGCGTAAGTGGTTGGACAGGCTAACAGCACTTGTAAACGTCGTATTGCAATGCACACACGTTCTAAGCTTCACAGGCATACCTATCATTCAAAAGAAAACTATAATCCAGTTCTCTCTTCAAAAAATGAAATTCTCAAAGCGTTGTAAAAAGTTTTCTGCAATAAAGATGGTTTAAAATATATTCACTGCATTGACGCAATTGTTTAGTATATTAGAAGGATCCAAGTTAACCGTTATTAGTTTTCCATGTAGTGCTTTAAGCCAAACCATGTTATTTGGAAAAGAACAGAAAGGAGGCAACTTAGGAGCCCGTTAGGCTACTCTGCATTTAACACCTACTATCAAGTTCCTACAGATCTCCACATTATGAAACTCCAATCCCAAAATAAAATCCTGCAATTTGCATAGCACAATTCTGTTGAGAAATTTCAGAGCTTGCAATGTTTCCAATAAAGAGAATTTAAAAAGTCTAGTCGACAAAGCAGTAATTAAAAGTGTTTTACCTATAAGACTGAAGAGCTCAATACTAAATTAGGCTGCTGTTGAAGGCTCGGAGAAAAAGGTGGTAAAACACACCACTGAACAGCTGTTAGACAAAACATTTTGTTCAGTGCATTTTCTGTTCATTACTTTAGATGCGCAATCGATAATGAAAGTTAATGATTTGAAGTTTTTTGCTAAAATCTTTGTGCTAAATAAATGATCAACAAAGCAACATGCTATTTATCACAGGGAAATAGTGAAACAATACTGAACTCCTCACTTACCAAAGAAACCATTGTAACTTAGCCCCTGCTCAACTTCACCATAACGTTTCTCCCTTCATTTTACCAAAGATATATTGCTTTGGTCAACTAATATTCAAGTTCTCCACTAATAAATTATTAGAAGAATAAATAAAAAAAGCTAAAACTACTCAGCTGGAAAGCCTCTGTTTGCAGGAAAGAAAGAATCCTATTCTCCAGCAGCCCACAGAAGACATGCTGTTTGGTCAGGCAAGTTACAGAAGAAGAACACCTGGTTGGCAAAAACCTTATTAAAAACTAACCCCAGAATTAGAAATATTTGCCTTTTTAGGAAAAACAGAAGAATTTCAACCGCATGTTAAATATTTTCTTATTAACTCAACTGGCACAGTGCGTTAGTTGTCAAATTCTGTTACCTCAGCCACAGATAATTATAGGGCCCTGTTCATAACTGTTAGTACTATGCAAGCGTATGTTTATTTTTACCTGGTTGTTCATCACAACCAAACAGGTGCTACCTAGCATTCAGCGGTAAATATTAAACAGAAAGCAATACACAGTGTCAGATTTGGCAAGCTATTCCTTTAGCATCGTTTTTCAAATCATTAAGCCTGTCAAAGATACACTTCCTTTATTAAGCAATCTCCTGTCTTAAAGGACAACCACAGACGTCCAGAAGACATTAAAAGTAACTCTGTTCCACCTCCACTCTGTCATTTTAGAAAGCCACCTTTGTTAAGAAATTGATTGCCACGCTTTTGTAGGCCCCTAAAAGAACTTCTGAGCACATTGGATTGTAGTTATTCGTTTTGTTTGTTTAAAGGAAGACAAGAATATAGGTGAAAAAGTTCTAGGCACTGCCAGTTTTACTAACCTGCACTGGGTAATAACAAGAAAACCAACAGAACCAAAAAAAGTCAGGGGTATAAAAATAAGATCCTGTTCCTCAAGCTAAAGAATCCTGCAGCACTACAAGGTGGTGTCCAAACAAGAAACAGGTAAATGCAAGCTCTACGTACACACTAAAAAGGATGTTGTAAGAATTCCTCAAGACTAGAAATAACTCTGATATGACAAGTAGGTTAAAAACATCACTCTAAAAGCCTGCTCTATTAGTATACAGAGTATCTAGGAAGCTGATTATAGAATTGTTTCATTAGCACAATTCTCAGTGGAGGGGCCGTATCGGTCAGGGGCTGTGCCGTAGAAACCTGCTGGCTACAACTGCATTCCAACAAAGCTTGAACCAGCACAGGTCTTCACTCAGGATAGACAGGCCCTAACCAAGCATCAGTTTCTCACAGCAGCCGCAATTTTGAAACAAAGAGGAATTAATCTATGTTGTAAGAGTATGTTTGCCTAAAACCATCAAAACTAGTTGACAGTAATTCACCAATTTGGAACATTTATGCATTTATAATGGTACCAACAGTTCTGTTAGTTTGAGCAAATGCTGCTTTGCACAAACCTCAAAGATTTAAATGAAGTAATTCCCAAACCAGCTGCTCTAATGACCAGAAACGGGGTTACCAGCCCAAACATTTCAGAACTGTTAGTCTACCAAATATGCATAGACACTTCAACTTGTTATTGCAGGATGTGTCTTCTTCCTTACTGAGACTCATTTTGTGTCCGCTTTGAATTTGTATGCCCAGCCACATGCAGAACAGGAACTATGTTCCGTGCAAAAACCCATCAGTGCTGCTGAGGGGTTTTTTTCACTTTAGGAAAAACATGTCAGAAATATTTGCTGTGCTACCTCTCGCAGTCAGTGTCCTCTGGAAACAAAACAAGAATTAAATGAACAGAATCCCAAATAAAATACTCTGTACTTGTACATTTTCTATGAATTAAAGGATTCTTTGGAAATGTTGTCAAGACAGCTAGAAACATCTTCTTACCTGACTGCATAGTCAAGTCCATTTTTTGTGGCTGATACATCAATGGACTGTCTTCATTTAATGGAAGAACACATTTCTGAACAAACCTCTTTCTTGCAGTTTGATTATGAATCTTTTGAGGAGAAATATCAGGATTCCTTTCTTCTCCTAACCTCTTATTTTTCAGGAGTTCTATCAGTGTAAGTGACTGATTTCTTTTTTCATCATGTAGCACTGCTTTTGTTTCATCACATTCATTCAGGAAACTCAGCCCTTCTTCCTCCGATGCAGACACAGATGTATCTTCAGTCTTTAGGCCATTATGGTATGCTTCAAGAGGTATAACATTCCGAGATAAAAAGTCATCATTTGATGCAAATTTCTGAGCAACAAACGGTCTGGGAATAATGCGGCGACTGTTCAAAGCCTTTAGGATTTTTTCATACTTCTCTTCATTTTGCATCATCTCATTCAGAACACAGATCGGAGACTTGTGTGCATCCCACTTGGTTTTGCCAAGCCTCTTCAGGTGTCCTCGCACATGATTCGACAATCCAATTTTAGTATCGAACCAGCCTCCACAGAGCTGACACGTATGCTCAGAGGAAGTTTCAGATTTCTCAATCGCTACAAAGAAAATAATTTTCATGGGTTTTGACAATTATATACAATTAAACATTACATCAGCAAATCACAAGGACAAAAAGAGGGGCTTTATGACAAGATAAAGCAAGTTTTGCTTAGGACAAAATACCTTTGCCCCCTTTACTTTATACCCAAATTAAAAAAAAAAAAACCACAAAACAAAACAACTTACCTTTTCTAACACGTTTAACAGGAGTTCCTGTTCCGGTTCTTTTAAAATGTTGCATTTTGTCACTTGTTGCTATCTGTTCTGGCGAAACAACATGACGGGCTTCATAGCTTAGTCCAGCTCTGTGAAGATGTCCTCTGACATGATTGGACAAGCCAACGCCTGTTTCAAAGGTTGCTGGACAGTATGGGCAGGACTTCTTTTCAAGCGACAAATCAGTCCAATGGAAAACTGAATTATGCTTTGGCAATGCTGATCCTACATTTTCTAAATTCTGAGGATCATGCAAATCATGCAGGAAGTTACTACCCTCAGCATCTTCGTAATACTCAAAATAAAAGCCATCATTCTGCTCATAACTAAGTGAAGATTTATCACCAGCTTCATGATCTTCCATTTTACCTTTGAATATGGGGAATAGGTTTACATGCTCCTGATTAATATCACTGTAAGATTCATCCTCCACAGACTGTGTAGTGTAATCACATAGTTCAACATTATCCCATGAACTTTCATCCTCCGTTTCATAGCTGTCTTTTTTTTCAGCAGAGTTAAGTTTCTGTAAAACAACAACAGTCATTTTATGCAGAAAATCTGGATAGCAATCCAAATCATCTCCTGTAACAGAGCCTTCCCTCTTGGATTCTTTAACCACTCTTTTTACAGCTACATGCCTACGATCTTTACAGCCTTCTGCCCTTTTGCAATCAAGATTATTTGAATCCATGACAAAACAATTATTACGGGGACTACTTGATGAAGAAAATAAATGTAAAGGACCGACAGAGTTGGACTCTTCCTTTTTTAAATGCAAAGGGTAAGAGTCACTAGATTTTCTAATCATCCTGTAGTTTTCATATTTGTGTCTATACAAATAATTACCGCTTGTTTTGACACTAGCTTTCTGCTTTGCTGCTTGACGAAAACATTTAGGTTTCTGGTCAATGCTATTTCTAATCAAAAAGGTCTTGTTTGTAGAATTTAGATTGCACACACTTACAGATGACTGTGAAACGCTTTTCCGAGCCTTCTGTATCCTGTAGGGTCTCTTGTGAAGTTTTGCGAAGTTACTGGACTGTGAAGTAGAGCCAAATGATCTTTTTACATCCTGTTTTAAAACAGAGTTCTTTGGAAAAGTAGAAGATTGTTTGATCAACTGTTTTGTCCTGCCACCAAAATCTAAAGATTCTTCTATTATGCTGCCTTTTCTTTTTTCTAGTCTAAGATGGCTACCAAAGGGATCAATGCATGATGCTGGGTGCAAATATTCCACGTGTTTTTTTAAAATGCTTCTAGCTGAAGTAGTAAACGGACACATCTTACACATGTATGTCGATGACTTTTTTGAGGATCCTAAATACGGATCTTTCAAGGATGCCTTTTTCTGTGTTTTCCTCTGGGACATGTCGCTACCGATCATCGAACATTTGACTACTGCTCCATGAGCGATCCCTCGATGGCATTCCAGTTCATTTTCTGTCACAGCCATGAAATTGCATTCCTCACAGCAATAGTATCTTTTATCTTTTTCATGGGTCTTGGCATGCTGCACAAATGTTTTGGGACAATTGGTACCAAATACACACTGTGGGCACTGCAACCGTGCACTCCTACCCTCATCCTGGAGTTCTTTCAGCTCACGGATTTCTTCCATCAGTTTCTGCCTTCTTTCTTGGTGAATTATCATATGTTTAAGAAGTGAATTACGATCTCGAAAGGTCCTTCCACATTCCCTACATGCATAGGGCCTGGGGACATTGAGATGTCGGAAATGACTGTTCCCATCTAAATGGTACATCATATGCCTATGCAGATGTTTCTTCTCCCTAAAATTCACATTGCACTTTGTACAGGGATAAAACGATGGTTCATCAGTACTGAAAGTAGATGGCGATTCAGAATCGTTCTGTTCACATTTATTTTTTAAAGTATCGGAAAGAAAAGTGCTAGTGTGAACAGGAGAAGTATCTTCCGCACAGTTACTAGTGGGACTATAAATGAGCTGCTGGATAGCATCAACAGCTTCCAGCTCTTCATCTGTGGATTCTGGCTTTACTTTACTCAATGAGTATTTCTGTGGTTCTACTATTTGTAGCTCCTCATTCTGCTCTAAGAAGTCAACATTTAATAGTTTTGATTTACTAGGAATACAACTGGTATCACCAAAACAGTCTTCAGTATAGCGTGTTATTTTACTAACATCCATTTTCCTTTTCCGCTTTTTTTCTAAGCCTACTTTACAGTGAATGGGAGACTTCTCTATTGTTTCTTCATTTGTCATAAGAAACTGTATAAACTCTTTTTGTGGATCCCAGCTGGGATCACATCCCGATCTAAAACCACCTGTACCTGAGGAAATGCCTGTTAATGTATCGACACAATCATCTTTTACTAGCAAATTTTTATCATCCTCACAAACTTCTACTTGGCCTACTAAAGTGCTGTCTACACTATTTCCTACTGATTTCTGTGAATCACAACCAATTGAAGCAGAGGTAGGTAGATTTTTAATGGAATGAGTCAGGTTCTTAGCATGTGCTACATCAGGTAACAAAAATAAAACTTGGTGCTGATTTGATTTCTGTGTTGTACTCTTTGCAGGCAGCTGAAGATCATGAACCACTGTCAAAGTTGAGCAGGAATCTGTGTGATGACCTACAGGCTGTCCAGTGGTTAATGAAACGCTGCCTTTATTCATAATGGAAGTCTTAGTTGAGGTGGAGTGTGAAACTGGTCCATTAACAGCAGTTCCTCTAGACAAGATAAAGTTTTCACTAGAAACAGTAGGAGCACCAGTGTGTATAAATAGAGAAGTCTGGCCTCCACTTAAGGCTTTTTCAGATCTGTCCCTTGATAGCTCCTCAGGCAGAGTCAATGTATTGTTCTTCTGAAAGGACGTGTCGCTCTCTTGTGGTTTAGGAATGCCACCTTCTTCCTCAGATATGAAATTATCATCACACAGGATTTCTTCTTCTTTAGCACCAGAGACTTCGGTATTTATCTCTAAATCATCCATATTGCTGGTCTGTCCATTAAGTACATTTATACTAAAAAACAAACAAGACAAGAATCAGGCAATCACAGAAATAAATAACGGCAATTTTAATCTACAGTTTTCTCAGGATTACCCTTCTTCACACTGTAATCTAAAAATAGATATTCAACTTGTTAAACATTTATTTTTTTATTTAGGATATTCAAGACATGTTTAAAATTAATCCATGAAGCAATTAAAAAGATTATACTTTTTTGCTATACTGCAGTAATAACCATACAGTAAACCAGTACTGTCTGGTATCCCAGTTTAAAAAAGCCTGAACACCCGCACACAAGCATGATGGGGGAAATGAGATTGTCAAAAACTGTGCAAACATGTACATTAACATAAACACAGAGTTTATCTTTAGTTGTTTTCCAGAAGTAAAACAAGTTAGGAGTAAAAGCTACGTAGACACCTGCTAGTCATTTTAGTGATTTTTTTTGTTTGCTTTAAAACCATACTTCCCTTTAGCACCTAGGAAACTAAAATAATCTTTACGTATCTCAAGGTATCACTTTTTTCAAAGTGCTTTTATACAACTGACCTGATGCTACACAGAAGCTTGCAGAAGTATTTGCTTTGATATTAAAGGAGAAAACACAACTAAGCTGATTTTGAACATCTGATTACCGATAGAGACATAGCAAAGGATCAAACTCACTGAAGAAATTAAACGTCTTCCCATCCCCTTCTTACAAAAGGACTCTCCTTGCTTTAAAATAAATAAATCAGATCCTGCCTATGTTATAAGGCCATTTTAAATGGTAAGCAAATAAAATAGCATCTTCTCAGAAGTGGAAAAAAACCTCACAATTAGAAAGAAACGTTTAATTAGGATTTACCTACGAGAGGAAATCACCATGTTGAATCCAGAGCATGACAATACTAGTATCTACTAGTACAGAGAACTACTACGTATTAATTCACCCTGGGAGGCCTTGTGTACATAAATACCTCTTTATACAAGTGACCTTCTTTCATACACAAAATCATCTACCCAATGCTTAGCGAGCACAAAGGAGCTGCCTACACATGAAAATCAGTGTAATAATAATAAACGGGAGTGTGAACTTAAGTCTACCCTAGCATTTACATCTTATATGGGTCCTCAGAACAAAGTAAGCATGAAGCATTAAAACACCCATCTACGAGTTGGAAACATCTATCTATATTTTACAGAAATCACATATTTTACCCTTAAAGAGTTCTATTCGCTTTGATCTTTTGGGGGAATTTGATTCCTGCCATCACATACTTAGTTTCAGTTACTAATTAACGTTTTGAATAGAGCTCAGTTAAAAGGAGTCATTACCTAGACTCTTTGAATTAAGATGTTATAACTCACAACTAATATCCATGGCTCCCTGCAATGGTCCTTCATCGAAATCAAGGAAGACCACGCTTGACATCCTTTTTTCCTAAGGAGAGAAAACAACCTGGTTAAACGACACCACTTTCATCTTTATACACCACACTCTAAAATGAGCCCAGCATTTCTGTTAGTTTTTCAATTCAACATTATGATAGCTAACCACACAACTCAAACCTAGCTATGGCCTCATGGAAATTCTCTTGTTATCGTGCTTGTTTTGTTTCAAATTGGCAAAAGGACAAAACAAATATTTTAACCTCCTTTAAGTTTGTAAAAAACAAACCTTGATGTAACACGACTTGTTTATTATTTTGAACATAAAAGTATATTTGGAGTAGAAATAGAATGAAAAAAAATTTGCCATTAAAAAAATGTTTCCTTTGCTACTCAATCATTGAACTAGCCAATTTAAAAATACAGCAATGCTCATGTCAGATGTGTAATAAATGTTAAAGTGTATGAAATATTTTACTGTATTATTTATTTATAACATACCCTTATGCAAATGTTCTACTAGATGCCCCAGTTTCTCATCTTCCCATTTCTTAGATTTTTGCATTTCTTTGCTGTTTTGAGATGGGGTCATTTTCCACCATAATAAAGACTTCCAATAAGATCACATTAAAAGCTATCACCCTAAAATGGTGATAATGCACCACCCAGCAGGAGTCTTTACATCCCATATACAAGTTAGAAATGGGCAGTGCAAACACGCACTAAGAACCAGTAATGCAAAAGTCAATTAAAAGAAGTGAAACCTCCAAGGATGCACAACAGCTCCAACAATTCTACAACTGAACAGCGTAAGCTTCCTATCGTATCAGGCAGCAGAGCATAAAAATGTTCCCAGAAAGTTAAGAAGACGTTTAGTAAGCCAATTTTACCTGAAAGATGTGCGTTTTCCACATTTTATTACTGCAGAGGTAGACAAATGTATGCTCAGTCAATTTGAGAGCCTATATTAGCTTTTCTCAACAGGAAGCAGCGTTGCTAACGAAGTGGTAAATTCAGTGTTAATGAGTGGCTTCACTGTTACCACCTCTGAGGTAAAACCTTCCATGTTCCAAGTTCCACCCATCTGTTCTGGTGTGAGGGGTTCAGAGGAAGAACAGACGCTTCCCATTTAAAGCAACTTCATCGGTACCCCCCGAACAGCGGGGAGGCAAACTGAGAATATCGTGCCTGCTTGGAGACTGCAATCCTCATTATCAGAATGGCTCCCGAAAACTTTTCACAGGTTTATGCAATGAAGACAAAACCATGTTGCTCTACATACAAAACCAGACTGACGCTAAATATTAGCGTTAAAGCTTAACTTAAAAAAGGTGGCTAGGGCACCATACGATCACCTTTAAACTGAGACTCTCTTCAGAGTTATCATGGGCAGTATCTAAAACATTACACTGTGCAATCTTGTAAGACTCCTTTCCGTATTGTGTATTTATGGAGATTGTGAACTATTCCATATGGATCTGATTAGAAGTCTTCTATGGTAATACAGCTGTCCCTACAGATTTCAGTCTTTGAATCAAGCCTGAAATGCTTACTGTATCAGTAATATCGCTGTTACATTTTAATAATTTTCTGCTAATTATCACATTTTTTTCCAGCTATCAGGGTGGTACAATTCACTATTTTATGTGCAGGATAATAAGAAGAAAGTTAGCAGTTTTAACAGTGTGGTATTGAAGAAAGCACATAAAATATCTTTTAAAATGACAGTAATTTCGAGTCTGGTGATGACGCTGAGCCAAGATGCAATACTTCATTTACGTTATCTACTCCACATGTAGAAATTTATGCAGGAACAATGATAGGTGTAACTAGACATGTGCAAGAAAACATTCCATGTGATGCTGTTGGTTTTGAGGAAACTTTATCATCTAACTCGCACCATTCAGGAAGCACAACACCCAAACTGAAACACTACCTGATCGGAACACTCGGGGGAAAAACCAAGAAAAATCAATCATTGTAACAAGATGTAACCAAGGCTATGCAGTATCCTTTGCATATTTCCATCGCAGTTTTAAAATTATCTTCTCTATACCATATCAGAAATACACAAATTATTAATTCTGTCAAAATATACAGTAATTCATCCTTACTCAGTGTATTTGAAAAACTAAACATTGAGATCAAACTTTAAATTTACCACAAATAGCACTTGTTATATCCGCTACCAGGGCAAGCACTACACAGTCGAGGTAATTTTTATTTAAGCACATAGTGCAATATACCTAGGAGATACAGAAGTGTAAAAATGGCAGTGCTCAAAAAGCTACACAAGCGTACACAATCCCAGGCTCCTACCTTTGAAACACACTTTACCTAAAACGCTGGGCCAACTTGAAGTCAATTATTTCAGTTAAGCCTAGAATGACTGTAGTGCAGTTATTTCTGGCTTACATGATACACTATTATATAGAAATTACTAGAATTATATAAACCAATCAATTATTTAGCCACTAAACCACATTCCACCCCTATTTAATTAAGTACTTTAAGATTTATACAATATTTAATATTGTTTTTCTTCATAAAATATCAGTTTTTAAAATCATAATGAGTTCTGCAGATATGACTGCCTGTGGCCAGCCAGTCTAAGCATTAAAGAAGTGTAAGGTCAGATCTATCTTCAAGCTGACAGATCGTAATTTAAATGCCTTAAGCTAATCTTATTGTCTCAAAAATCTTGAACATCAGTATTTTTGCAAACTATCAGCACTTGCTATAACACCCTTACTACACTACATCTTGAGGTTACTACAGAAGAAATGAGGTGATAATTGCATATTAACATAATTATTCAGTAATCCCTCTGAGCAAGCTTCCTAGGTCACTCAGTAATTCAGATCAGATGCAACCTTCCTGTCATCAGATCTATGCTGTCCACTTTCTGTTCATTACTAATTCTTTTTGATAGGAATGTATTTAATTCCATTGTCCTATGTACATTATTAATTGTATTTATTACCAGTAGGTTTATGACATTTCCAAGTTCTTATTTCATAATGACAACCTGCGCTGTGTAATAGGGTCACACGCCAAATTAAGAGCATTGCCTTCATGCAATCCTAGTTCATTAAAGCTTACGCTCCAGCGCTAAGTGTACTACGCTGTTGCCTACTAGCAGTTGCAGTTAAGAGATTTGCCAGTTTCTGTTACAAACCCCACGTTATTTTACAAAGATTTACAATAGAACTGAAAGCACGTTGGAGCTGAAAAATTAAGACGGAAGAATTTGGTTGAGTTTGTGAAAAGCGTGAAGTACTTTTATGTGTTTTGATACCAAGTTTCTCATTAAATTCATAAATATAAGCCAAAGGGCTAAAAGCAGAGAGCAACTATTAAGTGGCACAAAAACTCAGAAGCCATCTCCTAAATGGATTTAATTTAAACAGCCTAGTTAAAGTAACTGAAGAAACAGCGTCTTTCAGCAGTGCTGTAATGAAGGCAAAACCATACATGTCCTGTGCTAAGTAACTCCTTGTAAGTCAAGTTTTCTTTAAGCAGATATGTGAATAACCAGGACACTCAAGGGATTATTCAAGTATTCAAGAGACAGGAAAGGTGTTTCAGGTTTGCCCTGTTCCCCTTTAGATTTTTCTTCAAGACTTTGTTATGTAAATAGAGAAAACTAACAAAACCCTATCATTTTATCCACAAGCATTCCTGTAATAAAGCTTTCTCAAAAGACAGATTATATTAAAGATGATGGAACCAAAGTCACAGATTTTTAGGCAACAAACAGCAGACCAGAGAGAGCTTAAGTATATCACGGCACAGGACTGAAGAGGTATCTCCTTCCATTTTGCGCCATCAAGCAATCTATTCCTTTAACAATTAATCACGGCAAATGTCAAGCACAGAGCTTCCATCAAAAGTGAAATGTTTAAGAACCTTTGGAAAATGAAGGTTTGTACCGAGTAAGAGAGGAACTGGTAGCGTATCAGCATCAACCAGCCACATCTTAAGGAAAAAAAATCAAGTTATTTAGAGGATAGCTGCACAGTATTTCTGCCTCTTCCACACAGTAATGCACACAGTTCACACCTCCCGAGTTTGGGGTGTTATCTAGCAACATCAATACCCGAAGTCAATAAAACCATGATACTTTGATTGAAGAATATGTATTACTTGTTTTCCACTTTATCTCTTCCTAAAAAGCTATCCAGATCCACCCTTCAGATGGAAATAGAACCACAAAGCCTGAGAGGATGAGTCAGTGACCCGCCGTACCTTCCTCCAGCTTCTACTTGTGTTTGCAAATTAAGTTGTTGAAAATAGATTCCCTACTGCACAGCAGACACCCCGACCATTTGTAGACTTAGCTTTGAAACCTGCAGAGTTCACCTGAACATTTCTGTTTGTTTTGTTTTTTTTAACTTCGTTAGTGAAGCAACAGCTTGTTTAATATGTACAACACCGTGAATACTGCCTTCCCATACCCACTTTACGTACAAGAATACGGTTATTAATATAGTAACAGTCTGAGGAGTTCCACTGAAAACTAGTTATCTTTCCAGATCCATAGCTGTTCATATGAAAACACAAACATCAGAGAATTCTCACAGCTCATCAGACTCCCATATCAAAAACTTTTTAAAGCAGCAAGAAAAATTACTGATAGAATGCGAAAAAGTTGTATTATGCCTAAATAAAGAAGAAAGTTATTTGCCACCCACAGTACAACCTTTTGTTGTACCGTTGAAAGGTTCACTGAGTTGTCATGTATCTGTGGAAAAAGTTGACCAGAGAAACTTGGAATTACAGAGGAGCCACCACACAAAAGCAGCCCGTCTTCAGTAAGATTATACTCCAGAACATCAAACCTGAACAGGCTATTTCAGAAAGTTTAATTTACCTGAAACTTTGTTTCTAACAAAACAATTTCTTCAAAAGCCTGTGTCAGTAAGGAAAAAAAAAAGTTTCCTTAAAAATGTCAGAATTTCAGAAACTTCATTTTTTGATCGAAAATGTTTGATAATTTAACATCTCACATGTGAAAGGGAACAGCACACAACAGACGCATAGCAGAACTGT